CTTTTGATCCCGGATATGCACCTAGCACTTTTGCATCACCAGTAGTAGCTTACGTGCCCCCTTTATTCCTCACCACAAGTGCCCACTTCGCTTCATAACCGGCATTAATGACCCATCCCCCATCGCCTCCCCTACAAGATGAACGTCAACCTCGTATAGAGCCGGGTAGCGGAGGTCGCTTCAATGATTTCTTCGCTCTAAGCGACAATTCTAGAATTGATGCCGACCAAACCATTCGGGTCATAAATGAAGGGTACGTATTATGCATACCAATAAAAATAATATTGTCTTTACTTTATTGTTCATAATTATTTATATTATGATATATTATTTTTTCCATGAATTTACTTGCCATTTTTTTTATATTTATTGTGTTCGATAGTTTGAATCCATCCAATTGATACTCTTAACGGATCATCACCATTTTTCGAAAAGTGATTGGACCCTTTTAGATCTATGTAAAAGTCATTTTCTTAGAAGACCAAAAACTTCTATTGAAATGAGTTTAAGGTAATATACTAATTATTTATTTATAATATTTTTAAATTATTTCAGTAAAAATAACATAAAATGTGCTACAATTTATTTTTTCTTCTTATAGGAGTACTTTATATAGAAGGAAGCCATCATCATACTGGTTAAGATAGCATGGGAGCATCAAGCACGCAGACGATATGCCGACATGCCGACCAACTAAAAGAGAAAGGGGACCAAATCCATATCTATCCTAGAGCATGTGTAGGAGAGATGACGAGTAGCATAGTTGCTCATCCGATTTTCGAGCTCGTTACGAGCGAGCGGCTCAAAACTATATGAACGGAAGGGATGACATTAATAATGGCCAATCTAAACATACGAGGGGTTTCATCTTATAAATTGAGCACACAACAAGCATGGTAAATTCTTTTATCTATTATGTTATAAATTATTATTTGTAGTTATTACAACGCCTATTATTTATGTCTACTTTTTTAAGCTAAAGAGTTAGGTCATGACCCCAATCTTTATGAGTTATTTGTAATAACTCATAAGTTGACAGAATGAGTTATTCGTCTATATACGGTCCAAAATGGTTATAGCAAGTCTTTTATTTTTTTAATTATACCTATGCCAATTCAATTTAAATATTAAATTTATTATTTAGTATTATAATTTTTGTAATTACGTAGGAACGAGTGGACTTATTGTGTGAGGTAGGTACTAGCTAGGCACTAGAAGGTTTTTCATCGGTGTTAGACATCGATATATCGAGGCTATAGAAGGGAAGAAAAAACATTCGGTGTATGGGTTCGGATCATAAGCATCCCATTATTACTCCCTTTCGGTGCCGGCTCATCCTATGCAACATTGTGGTTCTACGGTGGTATGCAACGGGATGATGAGGAGTCTCGAAAGTAACTCTAGGTGGAAATAAAGTGTGACTAGGCTTAACGGATCTAAGAGATTAAGAAGGAACATAAGGTGGAATACTAGCTTCTTCGGTAGGAGTTGTAAGGGACTCGATAAGAACAGCATGAGTGGTGTAATATTATGACCTCCACATCCCCGCCCATCCGACCCTTTGTCGTCATCGGGGCCTTCGCCCTAACAGGATGATCTTCATGTTCTTGAACATGGCTCATCGCTAAACGTCCCTCTCAATTCCACTTTTGAAACTCTTGAATCTACGTTTGATCCTCGAATTACTATCGTTGATGGCAAGGAATATGTATTATGCATATTTTCATGAAATATTTTTTTATATTATTATAATTATACATTCATTTAAGTATTAATTAATGTCTTCTTTGACAACTTGTATCCTTTTGATATTTATGCTCGTTGTATCTATAAGACATTTCACGAGTATGTTGACATATCTAGATCGATTTAGAAGTCAATTAGTCTAGAAACTAAAGACTTGTATTGAAAAGAGTTTAAGGTAGTTTTTAATTTAATTAATTTATTACATGAATTCATATTTGAATTAAGAAATATTAATATTCAATTAAATATACTAATGAATATTTTTAACATTCTTGTAGAAGTCCTTTAAGTGGGAGCAAAATATCAAGATAGCATAAAGGAAGTATGGCAGAGTCTAACACGGAAGTAGTATCCCGACTTTCTTTATCAAGTTAAGAAACACCCCAAACCAATATATATTTCATATGAGGTATGGGATGTATGCTATAACGAATGCGCAAAACATGAGTCTATTGCCTAATCTAAGATGACGGCTCGAAATCACAAAAACAAGATTGGTAGTGTCGGAATTGGTCCATCTAGACATATAAGGGGTTTGATCATCCATATGGAGCATGCAATATGCATGGTAAATATATATATATATATATATATATATATATATATATATATATATATATATATTAAACCTAATTATTTTTTTATAATTATTTTAACATAAATAATTAAATATTTAAGTATATTTTTTTCAATGTAATGAGTTGATCATGAACCCAATACTCACGAGGTTTTCTTGAGGACTCATAAGAAGAAGGTTGATGATCGGTACGTATTCATCGATTAGCAAGTAAGAATTCTCGTAGCAAGTAATTAATTTATAAGGTTATTTTATATATATGCCACTTTTATATGACTTATTGACATAGTTATTTAATATTAAAATTTATGTAATTATGTAGATTATTGTGGAAAAAATATTTGAGGAGGAGGTTGTTAACCGACATACGAAAGGTACTTCATCACCCGATATCAAGAAGAACGAGATTTTTAAGAAAGTTCGTTGAAAGAGACGAAAGTAAGAGGAAGAGGATATACGGACTCGGTTCACGGACATCTTACTATTACTCTAATATTAGTACATCTTCTATTTCAGCCACTTTGCGGTTCCATGTCGATATTAAGACACAATGAAAAGGAAATGAAGACTCATAATTCTAGACAAGTAGAAAAGATCGAGAAACTAAAGGGTACTGTTACATCGCTTTTAGCTACTACAAATGAGTTACAATATTATACTCGGGAGCAACATACGATGATGTAGCAGATGTAGTAGATGTTGGTGAATATGTAGAGAGACAGTTCATCCATCGATCCTTCGACCGAAGACCCTACCGATCGTTTCTAGCTTCTAACTTTTATGTTTTTTTTTTTTGAAATATTAACAAACTTTAAAATTATTTCATAATTTGATATTTTAATATATTTTTTATTTTATTGAACTTTATATATTATACTTGGTTTTGTACTATTTAAAAACCTTATTTATAGAGTTTTTTTAGTTGTTAAATTGGGAAGCTTAAATTTTTCTTCTAAGCGATGAAATAAAAATTGCAAATTTTAAAAAAATTCATAGGGATTTAGCGACGGATTCTAGATAATTTACGACGGTTGTTAAAAACGATCGCTAAAATGTCTAAATTTACCAACAAATTTGGCATTGATTTTAAAAAAAATCACTCATTTGTCAAAAATTAGAGATTTTTTTTTTAGCAATGGTTTTTCTGTCACTAAAGTAACGACGAGTCCTAAAAAATCATCGCTAATTAATTAGCGACAAGTATTTATGGACGATTTCAAACAATTGTAAAACTAATTAATTTTAGTGACGATTTTTCAATAATTAGTGACAGTTTAATTGTCATTATTTTGGTAGTGTTTGGTCTTACTAATTCAACAAAATGTTGTTTTCAATTACACACAAACCATACAAAAGTAGATGAAACAATATTTGGTAAACATAAAATACAAAATCAATACCAATTTTTCATTCCATACTTGATCAAAATTACAATAGCAAAAACCCTTTTATTTGCTTTAAAACATATAAAAGCGAAGCATATGGCGAGAACAAACCCATGTATACCCCTATCTCTATACGCTCCTAACACCGACTTCAATTCAATAATCAACCCGACCATACATTGAACTTCTTCCTCTAGCTCCCGCATCTCTATACTTATCATTTGAAGCTTCAAGAACTTTAGCAAATTTATTAGTTCACAAAAGCTCATAAACTCACATCTTTCATAGCAAAAATATAACATATTTGGGTTTTTTCTTGGACTCTAAAATCCTAAAAAGTACTTTGCCTCCACATCAATAAAATTTGTTAGCATATTTGATGTATAAGTTATTTGATCCTACTATAGTACCACCTGAAGATTAAAGAGAAGAGAAAGACATTTCATCAAATACTTAGTGGGTTATTACAAAGACAACCTCCAACCCAAAAATGAAAGAAACATGTTCTTTTTTTTTCTTTTTTTTTTACTTTAGAAAAAAATAACAAACTTTTTTTAAATATAACACACACAAAATAAACTAGTTATGAAGGATAAGAAGTGAGAAAGGATGAGTTTTCTTTGGTTTGCTAACTGAAAAAGGAAAAAAGAAGGGTGAAGTGTTTTTTCTTTGTTTATTTTAGTGGATACACTATCGGCATATTTTTGTGTGGTTTGGAGGAAAAAAAATAAAGGGAGAGAGAGTAAAGAAGGGTAAAAAAACCAAGGAGGAAAAATAAGTCCAAGGGTAGTTCAATCAATTCACCTTCACATGTCTTTCACATGTGTTCAGAATTTGGTCAAGGTGATTATAAATCAAAAAATAATTATAATAATCGAATTAAAAAAATATTAGTTTGGAATATCAATCCACAATCAATGTATAATACAAAGTACTATCCAACCAATTAGCTTTTATTTTACCAAATTGTAATGTTAATTAGTAAGAATCATCCAATTGAAAAGCCTTCCTTGAGTTTCCAAGAAGTTTTGGAAGAGTAACGACAACAACTACCCTCAACAGTAATACTACTCGTAAAACATATAAACTACATGGAATTCAATGGTTTCAACTTTCAACTTCATAAACTAATCCCATAAACAACGTCACTGCAATTTTGAAAAGTTCCACAGTTTGATCTAATTAAGGTTCTATACATATGCTTGTGCAACAAATACTTAAATATAGACAAGTCTTTGCTAGCTTCCTTCTGATCAAGCTTCTCTTCTCTGTCTCTCGAAACTAAATAAGATATGGCTGTTTTTCTTTTCAGTTTGATTTTCTTGGCCATGAGTGCATTATCAAGCCTCGTTTCTCTCTTAATCTTTCCTGCTGCTCACCTTCTTGTATTAATTATCCAAGGATTCAGTTTACCTGGCCAAGCTGTCCAAGCAGCATTACAATTAATTGCGGATGCTATCAGGGCATGCTTTGAGTATATCTTGGAGTATGTTCTTGAAATGATAAGTTCTTCAATCTCTGCTGCTTTTGATCTTGTAATGGAAGCTATTACAGGTTCTGCTACTTTCACCGGATCAGCTATTGGAGGTTTAGTGGAAAAGACAAGAGATTATCTTGATGGGTTATTAGAAGATAATTCATTATCTCAGCTTGCTGAGGATTTTACAGAGATGATTTCGACTATAATGACAGATTTATGGAACAATTACAAGGATGCAGCGGGATATGTCACAGAAAATGCTTAATTATATGCATGTGTACATATTTTCAAGTTTTTTACGCTTAATTTTACAATATTTTTCGTATCAAATGTAATCAATAGATGATTTTGCAATTAGATGATATTCTTCACACTAATTAATATTTCTTTAGATTTTTTTTTCTGATTCTTATGCTCTAAAATTCGTATTAAATTAATTGAGAGCTATGATAGAAAAAAAGTTTGTGATGTCTCTTTTGCATGGTTTGGTCCGTTGGTCATCACCCGGAATATTTTTGCTCCCAGCATGAGCAGCTTTGATACAGGTTCATTTTGGGGAGGGTGGCAAATATAATAAACATTTATTTTCGTACCTTAATTTAGTCATTGAATGTCCACCAAATATTAAAAGATAATTTGTTTTATTTTCGTAAATTAGTTTCGTAAATTTTTGACGATCTCAAACTAACGAACAAACAGAAAAGGTCAACTGTGTGAAGTTTCCCAAGAAAAAAGGCAAAGAGTGGAAAGAAAAGAAAAACGGATCGAAGAATAAAAAAATATTTTTCGTGGATGGCTTCTTACGCGGACAACCAAGTCTTCAATTTATAAAGCGGTAGGAAAGTGCGTTCCCAAGGTTTTAAGTTTCTTCAACGTTTGGTTTTTTCAATGGTCTAGGTTACTTCTAGAGTAATTCAAAGAAGGTATCCACCACGCGTCGCCATAGCCTGCTGAGGTTTATTGGACTGAAACCTAGGTGGGCTTCAATCCAAGGCCATCCTCTTCTGGCCTTGGTTCCAGGCCCAGGTCTAACTTTTGTCTCTTTCTTTTTTTCTATTCCTTTTTTTCAAAAAATAGTTTTTACATATATAATTTGGTTACAAAAACTTCTTTAAATATGAATATTGAAGAAAATTAATTAAGAAAATTAGATTAAGATTTATTTTATACATTTTTTTTTGGTAATTTATGTCAATAAATTAATTAACAAAAAGTAAATTGTAATTTTTTTAATCAGTAATTTTCCGATATTTACATATATAATTAAATTAAGAATTTCTTTACTAAAGTAATAATTTATTTTTCTCATATTGTGGAAGGAGAAAGCTATAATTATTGAAAATGATGTTGAACTTGCTATATCAGTGGCCATGGCTGCTTGGTCCCTATGCTATTCTACGAGTATGTTATTATTTAGAGAGAAGGAGACTAGCGTGGACGGGGTGATCCAGATAGCTTAGAAAACTCTCGTTGATTTTTCAGCTGCAAATGATCGTGTCACTGCTGCTGGTTCTGGCAATCAAGAGACATTAACGTGGCAAAAGCCATCTGATGGATGGATTAAACTTAACTCAGATGAGGCTCTTACTGAAAGTGGCTGTGGTCTGGGTGTGATTTTTCAAGACTATCAGGATCAGGATCTAGCAAGAGCTCGCAACTTTACAGGATCTCTTGATATAACATCGGTAATCCATATCGTATATCTTAGAACCATTGTTGTACATGAATTCATCCAAACTTTCTGTACTATTAATTTTTTATGAACAGTAGAGTATATCCATTTTCAATTTTTTTAATTAAAATTTTTTTTTATGTGTGAATAAATGAAAGTAATTATTTCTAAAATAATATAAAATGGAGTGATGCGCCAAGTGGAATTCATCCTTATCGATTTAAAAGCAAGAAAAAGATAAAATCTCGTCAAAAGAGATTATCCACTTTATTGTAAAGAAGTATATCCTCCAAACAAATAAAGAGTCATCCTTATCTGCTCCTTTACACGTTTCGCTCTTAAACTTGAATTTACCAATTTTTTTAGTAAACTATAAAATAGTCCTTCTAGTTTTAAAAAATGAACCAATTGCTCTTTTTAGTTAAAAATAATTATTTAATCCTTATATTTTTAAATTTTCTTATAGATCATTTTCTTTCATTTTTAATTTATTTTCATTTTTATTTTAATTAAAAATATGGAAAGATAGATGAGAAAAACTACCAATACTGATTAAGGAACTAAATAATTATTTTTTGAAAAAAAAACTAATTAAGTACTTTCTAAAAAATAAAGGGACTGATTTATAATTAACTTCAAATTTTTCCATCTCCCTTTCAAGGCCAGACAATTCCCTAACTTCAAATTTTTCCATCTCCCGGTCCAGGCACGAACAGATCCGCCCCACGTTAAGGGCATAATACCGAGGGCAAGTTAAATCTCTTGAATGACCAAACTACCCCAGTTTTTTTATCAAATGACAGTCAAGTCCTGCACCCGCCCCCCTCAATCAGTCGCGGTACCCAATTCCCAAAGGCCATATGGCCCATATGCATTCGCACTGGAGGGTAATATTCGTCAATATAAAAAGGTTTTTTATTCCCAAAATACACAAGTCGTTAAGGGGCGTTTTCATAATTCAACAAATAAAGAAATAATGGCCCCTAGCACATCTTTGTGGAGACCACACCTTCCCCACCACAACCAAGCAATTTCTTCGTTTCCCACAAATAAAATACTAATCATAAACATTTAAAAAATACTGCTACATATTTTTTTGTTTTTTGGCTTCTTCTCTTTCGTTTCTTCTGCGGAATCCTCTTTCATTGTTTTGCCAGTAAGCTAAACCACTCTTCCTCTCTGTCTCTCTCTCCAAAAATTGTTTTGCACTTTGTTTCTGACGAAACCGCTTATGCATTAGTGGTCCTTTTTCTTCTCAAGTTTAGATCTCTGGTGTCTTCGGTGGTTAGCCATTTGAGCATCAATGGTGAGTTTTGTTAGATTGTTCGATTTTTTATTTTGTATTTTTGCATTATTTTGTGAAAATTTTTAATTCTTAGCTTGCTTTTTTGAATTTTTCGAGCTGATTTTTCTGCAAAGAAAAATGCTGAGTTTCTGGTAAGAAAGAGGAGAGAGTAAATGAAAATAAGAATAAGTTTTTTTTTTTTCTCTGCCATATCTATTCGGTCTTGAAAATAAGAGCGGTTTTTCTAGTTAGCTTATACTTTAAGATTCCCTCTTTCTCTCTCTTTTTTTCCATCTATCAGCGATCAAAATCTGTAAGTTGTTTAATAGATTATTACTAATTATGATCGTTATATGGATTTTTTTTCTTGTTCATTTTCTGCTTCATTGTTAGATTCAGAAGCATGATTTTCATCGGAGATTTTATTGATCTTGATGGTCTGTAGATAATCAATTAGTATATCTATCTATTTTGATTGTTTGTAGATATTCAATTATTTATTTATTTTATTTTTTTGCTTTTCAAGTTGTTAGAAATTCAAATTTTAAATTATATATTTCCATCCGACTTCTTATGTTGGAAATATTACTGTATTGGACATGAATTCAATCGGTATAAGTTGCTTTTTTTTTAAATGGGAACCTTTGATTGATACGGTTTTTTATTTTTTCGTTATTTGTTGCAAACTTAAGTAGGTTAATTTAGGTTGATTTCTGCGTTCTGGAACATAATCCCTAAGCAACAAATGAATTCTTAAAAGCAGTAGATGCATCTTCTATCCATTTTGAATTTTCTGATATTTTTTATCTTTTATTTTTAAATGGAATTAGAAGATTTTTTTGTTTTTTAATATTTAATCAAGTTATTTTTGTTTCTTTCTTTTGCAGCTTAGCCTATTTTTTTGACAAAGGGGCATTAATTGGAAGTAATTTACAAGAAATGGCTTGAAATCCGAACTTTAGAATGCTTCACGTATCAAGGTTCTAGTGGAGGGCATAGATTGGTTATTCTTAGATGATACAAGCTGATTGCAGCTTGTAGAAGCTGCACTTAAGCATGTTGATGATAATTTGGCTGATATTCAATCCTGCCTACGATGACAACTGTATTCCTGTCAAAGTTGTATATAACAAGCTACAGTTTAGCAGTAATCCTTTCATTCAAGCTAGTAACCTGCACTGCTTTGAAAGAGTAGACACCTCTACCAGGAGGTTCTTAGAAGTCTTTTGACAAATTTTTTATTGTCATCTGCTACAACTCTAACGATGGAAAGGTGTTTGCTTGATTGTGTAAGATTATTATTATTCTCTGGTGAAGCAAGTTTTTCTTGGAATAACCTTCTATTATTTTCTCATCAGATATAAAATTTTGGAAGAGATTGGTGATGGTACTTGTGGTTGTGTATTTAAAGCCATCAATATTGAAACATATGAAATGGTAAGGAACTCTTCAGATAAGTGTGTAACAGTGTCTTTTCCTTGTAAAATCTTGTGTATTACAAGTCATAAAACTAGCCATACTCATGAAATAACAACTAAAGGTTAAACTATATGGAATCACATGAAGCTGGAGATCTTACAATTTGAGTTGTATACAGCATGTTATAATGGCCTATGTGCGTTTATTGTTGTGTTTAAATTTGTAGTTACACCTGTGGTTCAAAAAAAAAAAAAAAAGTATTGCTGTTATATTGTTTTTATAAGAAAGGATTTCCTTCTGTTACCTGTTAGATTATTAAAATTATTTGTAACAGCTCTACTTTTGTCTCAGGTTGCTGTGAAGAAAATGAAGAGAAAATTCTATTTCTGGGAAGAATGCATGAACTTGCGAGAAGTAAAGGTGTGTTCCTTGGTAATGTTTGTATAATCAAATTGTTTCACATCATAAGTATGCTCAGTACCAACCCAAGTTTAAAATTGTCTTCTGCAGGCTCTTCGTAAATTGAATCATCCCAATATTGTAAAGTTGAAAGAAGTTGTCAGGGAAAACAATGAGCTATTTTTCATTTTTGAATACATGGTAAGGGATTTTGTGTTCTAGTCCATACTACTTTTGATGTATGACTTATGTTTCTCTTGTTTGGAAACCCTGGTGATAGCGTCCTAGCTCCCGATGCTAATATAAACCACATAGATACTTGATTAGTTCTTAATCCTAAATTAGTATGGGTCAGCTACATAAATCTTTTTCTTCCATTGACCTTGTTTAAGGCCATATTTTTCCTTGAGACGTAAAGCTTCTAATTGTAATCATTGTTTTCCATGATGTAGACATGATTGCTCATTGTTTCTTCTTGGGTGGGAATTTTATGCTTTGAAACTGGCAATTCTATAAATCCATAAATGGCTGTTCATTAACTAATAATTGCCTGTTTCTGGAATTCTTCTTACCAGGAATATAATCTGTACCAAATAATGAGAGACTGGGAGAGACCATTTTCTGAGGAAGAGATACGTAACTTTATGTCTCAGATGCTTCAAGGACTTGCTCACATGCATGGAAATGGATATTTTCATCGAGACTTGAAACCTGGTAAGACAATTTGTTTTTCTGTTATCAGGCTCATTAGTCAATTCATGGTTTAAGACAAATATTTGTATCTTCATGGTGTTTATAGATTTTGAGATGGCATATTCATAATTGAGGATCATTTCATTTTTAGAGAATTTGCTTGTGACAAATGATGTTCTTAAAATTGCTGACTTTGGACTGGCTAGAGAAGTTACGTCTGCGCCTCCTTACACTGAATATGTTTCCACACGGTGGTAAGTGTTCTTCAAACATATATTTCTATCTATTGTGTCGGCATGCATATCCATGACATTTCTGGAAAACCTTTTTTTTTATTTTATTTTTTACACGAAAATACTACATTTCTCATTTTCTGTGTTCTGGGTAATACTTATGCCAGGTATCGAGCTCCAGAAGTTTTGTTGCAGTCCTCAGCATACACTCCTGCAATTGGTACCCTTTTCTCTCTCCTCAACCCTCCTAAACTCTTTTCACCTTTATTTTTAAAGTTTGAGTTTTTTAAACTTCATAAAAAGGTTGAAATGAATTATATTGGTCAACTGATCCCCCATTTTGTTTTTGCGTATTTGAATCTAATTTGAGAATTACAGGTTTGGATATTTAAATTGAAACCAATTGGAGAGATTTTTCTTTTGTCGTCAGAAAAATTTAAACTTTGAACTATCTTTCACTTACCAAACAATGTTGTTTCATCATTTGCAACCATATTGTCAAGATCATATTCTTCATGGCTCATTCCACTTAGGGAGGCTAAGTAGGATGACCATTTCTCGCCTGAATGTTAGCTCCAGCCTGAACGGTTCAATGGGAAGAGCAAAATCTGACACACTTATCGAAAGTGTTCAACTTTACCTATAAGAAATGAATGCAAATACATCGAAGTTATTTTGTGCATAGGTTTTCTAGACTAATTTATTGTAGCATTTTTCTCTCATCTATTGATGACTAACACCTGAAAGTATATGCAGATATGTGGGCCGTTGGTGCAATACTAGCTGAGCTTTTCACTCAGTCCCCTATTTTCCCTGGTGAAAGGTGATTCTATGTTCCTTAGTTTCATGCCACTGTTATGAAAGATGTGGTTTTATATAATTCTGTTTCTGGTTTTGTTTGTTGTTCTACCCACTACTCCTGACTCGTCACACACCCACTCAAGCTGAATTAAGCAAGTGCTATCAATCGATAGCAAGATGGTTCATGGATACTTTTTCCTATCATGTAGTAGACACCTAAAATAACTTTGTTCTCCCAAGTAAATTGGAGTGCGGTTACTGATCTAACTAAAATGTAAATTATTATTCATCTCCTTGTCCTCTCTTTCTCTCTCTCTCTCATCCACAGTTAGCTGATAGTTACTCTTCTGTTTAGACAGATGGATTTGTGATATAAGAAATGATATGATGGCCTAATACCTGGAAAACTAAGTGAATTTCCCTTGTGCAGTGAAATAGATCAATTCTACAAGATATGCTGTGTCCTTGGTACTCCAGAGTGGACTGCATTCCCTAAAGCTACAAATATCTCTCGACTGATGAATGCTAGTTATGCAGAGGTAGGCTATGCTACTTATGTTTTCAATTTCCCTCAGTCTTTTTCGCTTTGTGGTTACCATTATTGATCTTACTATTCTTTGTTGTCATTATTGTTGGTGGACAGATTTTGCCTGCCAACCTATCTGATATCATTCCCAATGCTAGCTTGGAAGCTACTGATTTGATTATGGTGGGTGTTGATTTTTGATTTGACATCATACTAGTTTCATTACTAAATATTTCAGGTTTACACTGAATTAAATTTTTGTTGTGCTGCATTTTAATTATTTGAATTCTTCATATTGCCTTTCTATAGCAATTGTGTTCATGGGACCCATTGAAGAGGCCAACTGCTGATCAGTCACTGCAACATCCATTTTTCCATGTAATATTTTTTTCTGAAGTCTGCTTTCTTCTTTGTTTTTGCATAGGAATCATTTTTACTAACATGTCCTGGTACTCCTGGATAGGTGGGTATGTGGGTTCCTTATCCACTCCGAGATCCACTTGAACTGAAGCTAAATAACAAGGGTGAATTTTCTTAATCTTGCCTCAGGATTCTTAAATTTAATTGGTTCAGTATGTTTATGTTGTTTGTGGGGTTTTGTTTATTATTTTCTTCTTATTCTGTTCAACAGGACCAAAGCCAAATCTTGAGTTAAATCTGTGGGATTTTGGTGCCGAACCTGATGACTGTTTTCTTGGCTTGACACTCGCAGTGAAGCCCAGTGTTTCAAACTTGGGTAAATATCATTATACCCTTGTCTAGTATTATTTTGGTAACTGGTATCATATTCTGGAGATGGATAAGCATAGTAATGGAGCAGGTCAAAATAATTAGTCTGCAATTCTCTGCACTTTTCAGTCCTGACTTGTGTGGTTAACATAGATATGCATCATGGACGTGTTTAGTGCTGTCATTTTAAGTAATTAGCAAGGCTCATGCAGCCTACTTGCCCCAGCTTCTTGGTGTCAGGAATACACGCTCGTCAGTCTTTTCAAATCATGCACATGTCAAGTTGAAGTAACAAGGCATCACGTGTGCAGTGCATTAGTAAAATGGATGATGTGTAACCTGTACAGCACTTTACTAGTCTTACTTTGAGAGTGTACTTTGTAATTTGATGTCCATGGTTTTTGTGTTCTTTTATTTTGGTTCATGTTAGAGATAAATCTGAGACAAGGGTCTTTGATGGGAAGGGTATTGTTATGTGTAGGATTAAGCGGTCGAGTATGGCAAACCAAGGTATATCTTTCATTGGTTTCGGTGGCCCAATAAGCTATGGGCAAGTATAATGTCACAGGGATATTGTTGCTAGTGTTACAAATACAACACGGAAACAATATAAATGGTCCCTGGAATGTTAATGAAATTCTTGTTTCTCTTAGTATCTCTCTGCTTTCTTTATTTCCCCTTCTGTCTTTCTCCCTCCCATTATTCAATTCTGAGCTTTCCAGAGGACTGAACCATTGTTATTTTTTCTCTTTTTAAGGGGACAAACTAATGCATATGTCTAACTATGAGACTTATTTCATGCAGAGGCAGTCCGAAATGTTTCTCAAGGAATGCGGGAGGTGAGTTTGTATGGAAAACTTAAGATAGCTATTTAGCATCTGTAAACATTTGACTTACAGAGCACAATTATATCTTTGACTTGAAACTATTTGCTTTGCCGGCTGAAATTTGTAACATATGTGATGCAGGATATTGTGTTTTGCTCTGATTTTAAAGGTCATCAAGAACAGTCAGGTAATTGTTTCGTTGGACCTTGCCTTGAATGGAAAAGGTTTGATTTAGCACTCTTTGTATGCAGTGGAAAATAACGTCTCTTGGGAATTGTCCAGTATTGTAGTATCTTGGTCGATATATTACTGTCATACTTGGAGAGATCTTCTTTGGCTGTTCAATGAGTTCACTGTAACTTCTGCCATGGAAACCTATTTTGTGGAAACTGGAAACAAACACTGCCCTGTGGAAGATAGAAACAGCAATATATTCTTAACCTTAATGGTGCATGCATATTCCAATGAACGTTTAGGAACCATGGCCATAGGCTGTTTATATTGCTGCTTGGTTATATGAGATATTGGACATAACCTTATGATTTTTCAACTAAAATGTTGCAGTTTAATTTGTGTTCCAGTTTTTTGGTCGCTATTATCTCCTGATCAAAATGGAATCCATCCGCCAGTTGAATCATCACTATCATTATCATTCAGGTGAGTTCATTCATGTCTATGTTGACACTGGAGAGGGATCTAATGATGTCCACCGGAAACTTTCAACTGTCTTTGGCATTGCTCTGATGTTATTATTAGTGTTCTCTCTGCTCTGTTGTCTGTATTGCTAGTCTTTTGTTGGCTATCTTTCATGCCTAGAAAGGTTGGTGTCCATGTCAAGCATGATGACATGATCTGATTGATCTTTTTTTTTTTTGTTTTGGTGGAAAATTATAGGCCCTAGTTAATTTTGTTTTGTTGTTATGTTGGGGTGATAATAACAATTGCTAATAATGTGGTATCTACTTTCTTTGGCAGTTCAATTCAGCATCAATCGGTTGGAGTTCCACAATCATCTGGATTCAAAATTACATCACTACAGCCTAACTTTTTAGATTGTCCATTGTTGGCCATGTCCTCCCCACTTCAGCAAAGCCATTACCTCTGACCGATTTGATTGCTGGGATCAAATAAGAAAGGTGTACAGATAACCTTGTAATTTATTTTATTTGATTTTGTAAAGTTCCATTTAGTACTTGCATGGCTTTCATTTCTTGCTCGATGCAATGAAACTGCACTGTTTCGTTGCTGAAATACGGGCCCTGGGAAAATCCTCCAGGATCAAAATTGACTCAAAGTTCACTTCAATAATGTACATTTACACCTTGGAGCAGACAATTGAAATTTTTAATATTTAAGCATTTGGTCCTTACAAGAACATCATATTCTCACTTTAGTCTTTTTATTTATTCTCATGGTAATGGCTTCTTTTTCTTTTTTGAATTCCTACTAGGAAACCCCTAATTCTGCTCTAAGCTTCTCTTTGAAAGTCCCAGTGATGGAGAAACCATGCGCTCCAACACATGCCCTCGTTTTTCCATCAAAACCATAGATTAGTTAACACCGTTAAGTCTTTTTGTTTTTCATCATTAATACACATTCGTCGTTAGTATAGCGTTATTTGAGCGTCAACTTTGAATATTCTTAAAATATACCTTTATATATATATATATATATGAAAAAAAGTCATGGGAAATAATATAAACATAAATGTTCGAAAAAATGAGAGGAACAAAAATTAAGTTTTACTACTGATTCTTTATCCTCATGTATAATTACTCATTTTGGAAATTTAAAAGAAATTTAATTGATGAGAAAATAAAATCAACAATCTAATCAGCTCACGTTAAACAAAAAACATATCATCAAGATATTCTCTCCCGGTATTTTGTGAAAACCAAATTCACAAACTACAAACCCTTTTTTTTTTTTTTTTTTTGTATTTGGTTAAAGAATCCAAATGTTAAGTGCTTTTTTTGAAACAATTTTTTTCTATTTTGTTAAGGAGACGGAGGTGTGATAATGAAGAGGAGTGCAAAGATATTTCGTTAGAATTGGGCTTTTTGTTTTTTTTTTGTTTTTTTTGCCATTGCATTCAATTTTATTTACTTTTTATTTTATTTTATTTTATAATAATTAATTAATTAAAACGTAATTATAAAATCAAGAGAAATCAACAAACAAAAACAGCTAATAAACACACAATTAACTAATACTCCACAAAGAGAAGAGCTCAAATTAAAGAGAGATAAAAGAGAGAACTTGCTTAGAGGTTTTTGTACTGGTTTCTCTCACACCTTGCGAGTACTCCAGTCCTCAAGGTGTGTCCTTGAGGATTTTGTTGATTGATCACTTCAATTTTGCACTGAAGATACACTGAGCATTTCCTATTGTAGCTTGACCCTTGAGATTTTTACAGCTTTTTTCAATTTTATGTCCATACTAGTACACTTTTCTTGCACCCCTTACAAGATAATCAAATACTGACAATGTTGTGCAATGTCTGGTTTGCTCTAGTGTTCTTTTCACAATTAGTAGCTTAAATGGAGGAGAGACTTTTCTTACAAGATCTCAGATTCTTCTCCTTCTGTAGAAAGGTTTAGATACGATAGAAAAGCTTGTCTTGATTCTTAATATCCTTTCCCTTGAGATTCATGGAAACCCTTTCTTGAAAGACTGAATCAACCTAGTATATGGGTCCTGCTTTTGATATGAAAGTTTTTTTTTTTTTTTTTTTCTTGGATAGAAAAGCCTTTTTGCACACATAAATTTTAGCCTGAAAAATAAACAAGACAAAATATGGTAAATATTCGATGTTATCGTGTGGGTACAATTCTCTAATAAATAAATTCTTCGATTATCTTATTCTTTCTTTTGCGAGAACTTTGAAAACTCGGATCTTCATGAATCAGAGATTGGCGCTTTGCAAGAACACATGAAGACTTGGCATGCTTTTGCAGAGTATGATTCGAAGATTTGGGCAATGCTTGATGATTTCTATGTTTTATCCTCAAAAGTATTGAAGGTGAACTCTATGGGCACTATGCTTCATCTAGCAGAGCAGAGATTCCACGTTAGGAGACTCGAAGTCTAGACATTGAAAAGACTTTTTGGCTTGAGAGCTTTTTTGCAAAGCTTTAATAATTGAAGAAACCTGTCCTTTATTTTTTCAATTTTTTATTTAGGTGAAGCCCTCTATTTATAGAGGTTTGGAGGGCTGGATTAGCAATGTTTGGATGGAAGATGTCACAAGAATAAATGACAATTAATAAAATTATTTGTCAACTATTTTTTAATGACACTTGATAAATTTAGAATATAAGATCATTATAAAAATATTTAGGTGATCCAAAAATAATATATGGGCATAAATTTTGATTTGCAAAATATCTTTTGTTAATATTTAATTTAATGACAATATAAAACTAGGATATCACTTATTTTTCAAAAAACTAACCAGGAATTTTATCTTATTTAAGAAATAACTAACAATACTTATTTTATATAAAAGAGAGAGAATTAAAAAAAAAATTGAGCTTATTTGAAAATATGCTTATTATTTTTTATGGATTTGGATGTAATTATATATATATATTTTTTAACTTAAAGCAGATTTATTGAGTAAGTACTATTAATTACTTTTTAATTATTTTAAAATTTCTCCAAACCAATTTTAAATTAAATGTTAAGGTGATAAGTTTTTAAGGTGAACTTTTAAGAGTATAAACAATATAAAGGAATGAAGCGTTAAAATGTTTGGTAGAAGTTGAAGAAAATTAGATGAAACAGCGGTTTCCATATAAATCAAATCAAATTTTATTTTAAATATAATTTCAAAAAAATCAAATAATATATATTTATGGTCCAAAATGAGGATAGAAGAATGGAAAAAGATAAGGTATCGTTAAAATGATGGAAAAAAAAACGAAGAAAAGAGCGCATTTTGAAGGTCCTATATTTGCATCAAATTGACAAATTGAACCTTGTATAAATAAATTTGTAAATTTGACTCTAAAATTAATACATTTAGTCAATTCAATCCAACTATCCTCAACGGTTAACAAAAAATCCATTTGTTATATTAAAACTTGTCGAGTTGAAATATACCGGCTATGTGCATGCGACACAACTTAGACCCATATGTTTAGCTAGGGGTGAGTATTCGGTTAATCATAATTCGGTTCGGTTTTCGGTTAACGAAAGTAGGAAAAATAAAAACCGAAATTGAACCAAAATTAATTCGGTTAATTCAGTTTGTAACCAAATTATTTCGATTCGGTTTTGAAATAATTCGGTTTAACCGAATTTTTTCATTACTTCTCCATTTCGGACTTTAGACAGCTTCTCCCAAAACTTCCATTTATTTTTTCTTTGCCTAAGTTGAGTAATTAGCAATGCCGAGCTAACAAGTAACTACTTTCTTTTCTAAAAATGATTCAACACCAAAAAAAAAAAAAAAATTTCACAATTAAAGTCAAATTTAAACACCCAACATGTTTAACATTCATATATCGAAAAGGAAATAAGTCATGCAAAATAATTGCCGATGAAACAAAGATCCGAGATACAATGCAATCGACATTAAACAACAAAAGCATGGTAGAATGTCCGTTCTCATTTCTCAATAAAAAGGACGAGACACGAGCTCTCTTCCTGTCCTAAAACAAATGATTTACGTGCATTTGCAATACCTTCACTCTTTCAGGATCCGCAATAGAATAAAATCCCAACAAACACTCAATGCTCCCGAAAGAGGATATTAACATGCTACGAAAATCAAAGGCGGTAGGCCTATCGGTCACCGCCGATAGGCGGGAGACACCAAGGCGGTAAGCCTACCGCCCACTCGTTGTAGGCCTACGGCGAGTGGGTAGTAGGCTATCGGCGGTGGGCGATAGGCCTACTGCTAGTGGGCACGAGGCGGTGAGGCTACTACCTACTATGGTTCTATTCTATAGTTCAATGAAAATGAAAATTTACAATTCCTACTTACCGACTAAACTTGCACAAACAACAAAAATCAAAAATCAAACTTCGAAAGTAGAAACTTAGTAACTTACACATACCATTCATCACGTCAAAACACCAAGCATCAAGTCATCAACCCATCAAGATTCAACCATTTGTAATAGAGGTAGTGGCAAGTGGTAACTCGAAATTATAAGATAAAAAAAATTAAACTTTTAATATTAATATAAAGGAAAGAAAAAACAAATGAAAAGGTAAGAGTTATAGAAATTACCATCTTGCATTTTCTCAACATCTTGTAAATTTTCTTCAATAATAATTGGTGTCGATGAATTTTTTATCCAATCTTGAGCACATATAAGAGATTCCACTAAACTAGGAGTCAAAGAACTCCTAAAGTAGTCAAGAACCCTTTCTCCAAGTGCTAAATGTCGATTACGAGGAAACAAGTAGAAACAAGGAACCACCAATATATCCCTAGCCATTTGTGAAAAGATGAAAAACCGAGGAGAATTGGTTTTCCACCATTCTAAAATATTAAAATCAGCACTCGTTATTTTCAGCACCTTCATTAAGATATTTATCCAACTCCGTTTTATTTCCTCCACCTCCAATATCACACTTGTATTTTTCAAAACGCATCATTATCTCCCTTTTTATTCTAATTTCTTCTTCATCAATCATTTGTTCATTTGCACAACCCACATCTATTTCCCGACTCCCACTACCTTGGCCAATTTCACCTTGAGATGTTGACGAACGACAATAGAAATCATACATAGAATACATAGATTCCTTGATAATATTTGACATTCTTTGACCCTCCAAATCACCATACAATTCATTGATTAAAAATTCAATAAATACAAATTTATGCCTAGGATCAAGTATTGTCGTAATATAAATCAACTTATTCATTTTCTTAATATCCCCCAGTACTTCTCAAACTTTTCTTTCATTTTATTGGCCAACGTAAAATCATCTAAATCCCCACTTCGTTTTCATTTTTTCAAAACATGTTCGAGAGCATAAATCTCTTCAAAATAAATATTTGAAGTCACATATAAAGAACCCGAAATACGCAAAGTGAGATTGTAAAAAAATTTCAACATGCCCACCAACTTCTTACAAGACTTCCAATCATCAACATTAGGTGGCCTAACAACATTATCACCATGATCTACATCAAATTCACTCCTACATAAAGGATCAATTTGCTCATATCTCTTAAAAGCTCTCTCAAACTTTAGATCCGACTCTAACATCAAGTATGTTGAATTCCACCTAGTAGCAACATCTAGTTGTAACAAACTCCTAGAATCAATTTTCTCAAGTTGAATGAATTCCTTAAATCTTTTCAACCTAACTAGAGATTACCTTATAAACCTAACGGCCGATCGAATACGAACGATTGAAGGATTAAAATGTTTTAACCCATCAACAATAACTAGATTCAAAGTATATGCCATACACCTCATATGAATGAATTCACCATCTAAGATGCTATAACCCCAATTCTTAATTACATCTTTTAAGTGCCTAATTGTTACATCATTCGAACTCGCATTATCAATCGTAACACTAAAAACCTTCTCAATTCCTTAATCAATCAAGCATTTCTCAATGGCAATACCTAAATCTACTCCTTTATGACTATCAATCGGAAAAAAATTCAAGATCTTTTTATGCAACTTTCAATCATTATCAATAAAATGAGCCGTTAAACACATGTAATTGATTCTTTGAATAGATGTCCATGTGTCCGTAGTAAGGCTAATTCTTTGACTATTTTGTTTCAAAAATTGCTTCAATTTTATTTTCTCATCTAAATAAATTTGATAGCAATCTCTTGAAATTGTAAAACGAGATGGAAGCTTGAATCTAGGTTGTAAATTAGATAAAAACTTTTTGAATCTCCTACCCTCTATATGCTTAAATTGAAGCTCATCTAGAATGATCATTTTAGCTAAATCTTTTCTACTAACATTTTGATCAAACTTCCATGTGGTAAGATTGTTTTCTTCCGCTTCAAGCTTTCTTAGGTCTAATTGAGTTTGGGTAAAGTCAATACAACTAAAAGGGTTTTTTTTGCAAGTTAAAACATGAGACCTAAGTGAAGTTGTCCCATTTTTTAAAGGATCACAAGCAAATACCTTACCACAATAGTTACATTTAGCCTTCATGTTTTTCTTGTCATCTTCAAACTTTGTGAAATGATCCCACACCATCGATCTTGGCTTCATTGATTTCCTCTTCTTTCTTTTGCCACCTGTCTTGAGTGTTACTTGGAGTTGCACTTGATTGTGGATTAGGATTGCTTGAATCCACGGTTTCATAATTCATCTCTAAGGATTGAGATTGCGACATCTACATAAAAACATAAGAAAAAGAGTATTAAGCTTCACAGTTCACACTCCTTAATCCTTAAGCTTAAGCTTAAAAAAAAAAAAAATCTAGCTAGGCAAGAGGCACCAAGGCGGTAGGCCTACTACCTGCCGCCAGTAGGTCGTCATAAAAATTCTCGTAGAATCGAGAATGAAGTTTTCATTCTATACATGCTAGATCATGAATTAGTAACTACATCCAATCTCCAAAAAAATCCCAATTGTTTCGAACTTTTTTTTTTTTTTTTGGAATGGAATATTTACGGAATCCCCATAAATAGGATCAAACCTTATGCCATATTTCCATGGTATCGACCTCTTTCTTATTCTTAAGCAAGTCTCCGAGAGGGCTTAATTGATCCATGATTTATGTTTCATTTTTCGTTGCCTTTTCGTTTGTTTCGAGAAATATAGCGATCCTTGGATTGTTGGGGACGATCTTACTTCCCTAGTTTGTACAAGTCTTTTTGTTTTACTAATTACTATCATTCCATATATAACATGGTATGAGATTATTTGGACTACAAGAGCAAACCATATTATAGAGTAAGATTTGGTAAGTAATGGTCAACAAATTGGAATTCATTTTATCAACAGATTTTTTTCTTCCATTTGAATTCATTTCAATAATTTCAAGGACTTACAAAAAGGAATTAATTAGTTTTATTTGTTTTAAAATTAATTATTTAATATTTTAATCAATGTGTTGATTGCATTTAAGTTAATAATATTTTTATTTCACAAAATATTTTTTCCTCATTGATTTTTTTATCTTTTTTTACTTATATTTTTATTTTTTAAAATTTTTTTAAGAAATAAAAAATTTAAAAAATTTAATTACAGCTAGGTTTAAAAACACAAAAACTAATTATTTAGTTTATAAAATAAAAAAATAACTAATTCGTTTCTCAAATTTTTGGAGACTGCTTATAATTTACTCATTTCAAGTTTCAGGAGCCATGATATTAACTGTATTGATTTTCTCATGATATTAAAAAAAAAAAAAGGCAAACCATATTTTCTTGTACATAGATTCATCAATATTCTTCTTTTATCTTTATAGTTTAAAATTTGTAATATTATGTTTATAATTGTTAGAAGAATTAAAATTTAACTTTCACTTTGATTTAAAAAAAAATCTTTTTTTTTTCATATTCATTTTTTTCATAATAGATTCTGATAAAAAAACGTCAAAAATTAAAGACAGATTAAAATACAAATTATTTAATATTCAACATTATAATTATTAAATGCATATATATATATATATATATATATATATATATATATATATATTAACATATACTTTATCTTATATTACTCTTATTATTTAAATTTTTTTATTTGAATTTATCATTTTTTATGAAAATTCTCATTCAATTAATATTTTTTATATAAAATTATATTTACTGATAAATGTAATTTATCTTTTTCTATATTTGAATTTTAGAATAAAACTTTAAAACATGATTGTTTTTCTTTTTTTAAAAAAAATTAGTATAATATATATCATGAATTCTTAAAATTTTTATATGATAGTTGCACATATATATAAATATATAATTATTTTATTCTAAAAGATTAAAAGTGTATTTCAAATGATTTACCTCGGTTTACCAACTATGGTCAAGACGTATAAAAAAACTATTGAATCATTTTTTTTATTAAAAATTAACTATAAATCTTCCAACATAATACAAATTAGTTACTATGAATATTATTTAAACATTATAAAAAAAATTTATTTGAAATAAAATAATTAAAATAATTTTTTAAATGAGCCAATCAATTATTCAAATACAGCTTTTATGCTAATTTTATTGATTATTTTGTCAATAAATATATAAAGATCAAATGCATATACTTCAAAAAAATAATCTTCTCACTAACGTTAAATGAGAATAAAATTTTATTTTTTTCATTAGTTAATTTTTATGCAAGTCTATACATTAATTATAAATTTATTTTATATATACATTTTTATAAAAAAATATTTTTTAAAAGTATTTGTTTTTGAATTCTTAATTAATATTTCAGGTTTAAATTATTATAGGTTTTTATTTAAGAATCCCTGAATAAAAAAGAATAAATCATGTTTTTTAAGTATAAATTTTATTTTATTTTATTTTATTTTAACTCACATACGTAAATCTCATAGCAGAATTAGTCCGTTAAGATTTAAATCCTATGACCTCTTATTGCAAGAGGTTATTACAACTAGGGTACGAACTTTTTGGTGTACGTAAAAATTTTATTAAAAAAATAATAATAATAATTAAATAAAAAATTATAAAATTTTAAAATGGTTTTGTTTTTTACGCTTGTAACGTTTCACGGATAATTTCAAAAATTAATCTTCTCATCAACATTAAATGAGATTTTTTTTTATTTGTTAATTCTTATAAAAGTGTGTCAATTAAATTATAACTTTACATTTTGAAATGCAATATTATGAAAAATATGTTTTTAAAGTTTTTTTTTAAATTCTAGATTTATATTTTAGTTAAAATTATTAAAAAATTTTATTTTAAAATTAATCCATACAAAAGAATGATTTAGGTTTTTTTAAAACAAAAAATTTATAAAAAAAAATTAAGTGATTTAGGTTTTTTTAAACAAAAAATTTATTAAAGAAAAATTAAAAAATTAATAAACGATTTTGTTCTACTTACTCGCAATCGTAGCGTGAGTGCTCGACTAGTTTAAATCAAATCAAAACAAGACTGACTCCTGACTGTTATATAAGGGGCAAAAAAAGGCCCAACAACTAGGGCCAGAAAGTGAAAAGCAACGAAAGGATGGATGCTTACAAGAAGAGAGAGGCGACCACGTGGCATGCTCCCAGTATCTTACCAATGACTTGTTGGCATGTTGCTGTCTCCATTAACCTCTCAGCTCACATCAGCACTCTCTGTAAGTCTTAACTGACAAGAAAACACTGCTCCAGGTTCGAAAAAGGTCCTCTCTCTCTCTCTCACCCTCTCCGCACACACAGATCAACTTCTGCAACTAGCAAGCATGGGTGGTGGTGATGGGGGTGGAGATATGCTACTCGGTTTCACTCCCGGTATTCTATTTCTCTCTCTGTCTATTGCAATTGCTCTTTTGGCTTCGTGTTTTGGAGCGAATGAGAGAGTTTAGTGTACACCTTTTAATTTGTTTTTGCAGAGGCAGAAGCTTCGGTGGAACAAAGTTCTTCACCATCATCATCAGGCTCCTCCTCTCTTCTAAGGTATCTACTTGCTATCTTTACCTTTTAATTAATTAATACTTCCTTAACATCTGTTTACTTTCTGATGCGACGAGAAAGAACCTCGTTTTGCTTGCATAGGAAATCAGTCAATAGAACAGAAAAATTTAAGCTTGACATTTAAATATACGTTTATTGCTGTTGTTGAGTCTCCAAAACTAGGCATAAAGAAATGAAAAAAAAATAATAATAATGACTATCTTGATTGACCAACATGGTTGTTTCTGCCTATTGTTTAGTAATAAGCATGAAAAGGATTGGTGTTCTTTGAAACCATTGAAATGGCTCACTCTTTCTTTTTTAGCTATTTTCCCTCCTTGACCGAAAGGGTTTTTTTATTTGAAATTGTTGAATCCGAGTCTGTTTGTGCCTAGATTACAGGAGAGAATTGAGGATGGAACAGTGGATGGAGAGTGTGGGTCGGTGTTTGAAGGATTTAGAATTCCTTCAAGTTTTTTGGAACTTCAAGCTGATCAGAAGGAGAGCATTGTTTACAGGGAAGTCTTGGAGAGTTATGATCAGTTAGAGGATAGAAGGAAGAGCTTGGATGAAGGCAAGAGCAAAATCTTGAGGTATTCCCAGTTAGTTGTCATTTTGACTTATTGTATTTTTTAGTTTTAAAATTAGATGTTGGAGGAAAAGAAAGGGAAAGAGTAGCTGCACATTATGTCAAATTCTTGTTTTGTGCAAAATTGGAATTATATTAGACAAAGTTGGGGAGCTGAGGTACTTTAATGCATCTGCTTATTTATAGAAGAGATATATGGATGCTATGAGGTAAAGTTATATTTTTTTACGCTGAAATAGCAGTTCATTATAATTGTTTTTGAAGCATCAGTTTACTTGCATGTGCATGGGCGATAAGGAACAAACACATTATTCAACTTGGGTGTGCGTTTGGCTTTTGCTTTTGAGAAGCAAGGTCCACTGGAGAAATATCTTTTTCTGTTGTCAACTGTAACAGAATTTTCATAAAAGACTAAATTAAATGTCTGTTGGTTGTGCTGATGGTGCATTTTAGCTTATGTCATCTTATGACCCAGGCTGCCTTGAATCAGGCTCCTTTCAAAATTTTTTGGATCTAGTGCATGTTGGTTTTATGAAATTGATTTGGAAAATCAGGATTTTGAACCGTTTCAAGAAATAAATCTGCTTTTCATTATTATGATCATCTTTTTTTAATATTCAATGGCTAATATGACTGCACCTTGTTTAGTATTTTTTATTGCTTTTTTATGGTCTACATATTGGTCTTATTGTTTGCATAAGTTGATTTGATAAACTGATAAGATGATTTTCACAGTTATACTCCTGGAGGATGGATGGAGAATGTCATTGGCATGAAATTGAGGGACTATGATGTGCCGAACACGACAATCCTCCTACTAATTGGTCCCAAGGGATCTGGAAAAAGCAGTCTTGTAAATAGAATTTCTAAGGTTTTTGAAGATGACAAGTTTGCTTCTGAAAGAGCACAAGTATCATGTACATGCTACTTTTTTGTCACTTAATGGTCATTTGAAAGTGAGATATGTTGTGGATCTTTTTGATGGACGCAATCTTCACTTTTACTTTGGACAATTCTTTAAATAAATTTAGTCATTTCTTTTCAGTGATACTTCGAAGTTATTTCTTGCTGCAGATAATCCTTCTGTTGGAGATGGAACCTACTTCCTTCAGGAATATATGATTCCAAGAGATTCAACTTCTTTCTGTCTTTATGATACCCGTGGTTTGTCCTACAACTCATCTGATAATGTTAAAATGCTCAAGAATTGGATTACAGAAGGTGTTCATCATAGGGAGCTCATTATTAGGTTTGAATTTCTAGCTTCTCAGTATTAGGTTCGGCAGATTCAGGTTTGTTTTACATTAAATAATTTCACTGCTACGATTTCCTATCAGGCCATCGGATAGTTCACATTTGAGGAACAGAATGAAGTGCAAAGCTCATGGGAATGGTTGTCAGCCCAAGGAGAAGAGGATGGTTAACTTTGTCATTTTTGTTGTCGATGGTCTTGAAGTTCTGAAATCCATGGATAATGCTGTAGGCGAGGGGACAGAGTATACGCAGATGATTGCTACTACTTTTGACTGCCCATATTTATCGTTTAATGGTACAAGGAAATTCCTCATTCTTTTCTAAAATTGAAATTTGCATATGGTGAAGCATACATGTCCTCAGAGGTTCATAGCTCCTCTTTTAGTTTTTCTTTTATATAAAATCCAAGGGAAAAAAGTTATGCAGGAGGAGCTGCTCATGTTCACTGTACAGTTAGATAGGTCTCCAGGGCAGGGGCAGTGGTCAGCCAAATCCACTCTCCGCCACTGCCTCAAGACCGTCCACAAACTACTTATCCGCATGTCTTTCTTATATAGTAGTCCGCCCTCTCTGCATGGCCTTAGCTGATCTTATTTTCAATACATGTTTTCTATTGTTCATATCTATACTAATTGCCCACTGTTTCCTAATTCTTTGCATTACAGATGATAAACCTGTGGTTGTTGTTACACACGGCGATTTACTTTCACTCAATGATCGTGCTCGTGTACGTGTTCATCTGGGGGAGCTGCTTGGTATCCCCCTGCGACACAAATTTTTGACATTCCAGGTGATCTCACCTTACTCTTGGATTCTTTTCTTCTTTGTCATAATTGAACTTTTCTGTGAGATAATTTTTTGTCAGTAGAACCTAAATAACAAAGAGCTATGAAGATTTAATCACAACCATCTTCTGCTTGCAGAAAGCCATGATCCAGTAACTGAGTTGGCAATAGTCAGCATGCTGCATTATTCCCTGGAGCATGCTGATAAATATCTTCCTCGCAAGGGCTGGACAGCCGAAAAGGTTTGGTTTATTTCATCTCTGCTCTTTAATTTTTTTCTGATCTACAGCTTTCACAAATATTGAACTATCGAAACTTCTACCTTTTCTTTTGAGCGGCAATGATTTGTTATTTGCTCGTCTCTGGCAGAGACGTTGACATGGAAAGTTTGTGCGGTGTGGTATCATGATCACTTTTAACAAAATTTTGTCAGCTGTAGGGAACATTTTCCTTTGTTTGTATGCTTCCCAAATTCAACTGTCACAAGATTACAACTGTCATGAATGTTTGCCAAGAATGTGTGTGGAAGAACCACATCACAGTAACGATACCTTTCGATTCCTTTGAATTTTACCTTATTTCATTTATGAGGTTCTTGCTGTCATTTTTTATACCTACTGTCCTGTGATGCACTTGTATCCTTAGGGCTTAATGTAAAATAGATTCATATGGCACTAGATCAATTTTGAGAAGGCTTGTACAGCTCAGAAGATAGAACTGTCCTGCTTCCTAGAAATTGAGTTTTTATGTGGTGTTTTGGATGAAAATTTGACTCTTTCCATGCAATTGAATGCTTGGAAGATAAATTCCATAGCATTTTCGTGAATAATCGGAATATCATATGTATAGTCGGATGGTTACATGTTGTCCAACTTGTGTTTTCAAGCTGAAACTGCAGCATGGTACATCACTACATGTTTCATGGATGACCTTTCTACGCTACTGCATAATATTTATCATGGCTTGTCTTTTGGCAACGCAGTGTGCTGACTTTGACAAATGCTTGCAGATTCGTAGAGTTGGTGGAGTATGCCTCTCCACATATGCATCTCTCTTCCTGATTCTTGCAACTACCATTATATCAATCTACACACCACTTTTGCATATTCACCACCCCACTAAATCAAAATCTCTGGTGGATCCTTCTAAATCAGCAGCTCTGATGGATCCCCCTATATCAGTAGCTCTCTTGGATCCACCTAAATCAAAAGCTCATAATAGACCCCGTAAATCAAAAGCTCACAACAGACCCCCTAAATCAAAAGCTCATGTGGATCCCCCTAAATCAAAACGTCTTGCCAATTCCCATCAATCAGACGATCGGATTGTAAATTGGCGTCCTCGCATGCGCCTGTGGTTGGACTAGAATTATATTTTTGCTTCTTCTTGTTTGATGTGTCTTGGTCAAACTTTGGTGACTTCTTTGTAGATGTTTATACAAGTGGATTTGCAGACTAAGAAAGAAGCAAGCCTGCTTCAAACCGTATAACTTTTGTGTCCCAGTGAATTTTTTATATATTTGTGCATAATGTTTCTGGTGTTTATTCTTTCGAGCAGATGTTTGAATATTAGACAGATGATTATGGTGTAACTTGATTTGCCGCCCTAGCTTATTGAAATATTGATCTCATAATTCAGAAAGACATTTTGCCAATTTTCATTTTATATCTTTCAGTATTTCTTCTTTTTTTGTGCTTTGAGCAATAGGTAGGTCATATGATGTTAGCTCTGTGTCACATCCATAAGCCACACCAAAGGTCACGTCACAACGTTCTGAAGGAAGTAATTTTGAACAATGTTATGCTTTGATTCGAATTAAGAAGCTGGAAATGGAGCATCCCAGTTCTCTCGTTTGTTGTTACTACTGAGATTGAAATTAAAATTCAGGCTTCAACTCCAGCAAAATAACACAAACTTGAAATAGTTTTCCAATGGATGCATCTAGCTTGGATGAGCCAAATTTTAGCTGGTAGCATTGGCACCAGCTTTATCCTTCCTCCGACAGAGACATTAATTTCTTGGTTCCAAGTACCTATCAATTGCCTGTTACGTTGCAGAAAACCCTTGCAAGTCTGACAAATTGACATTGCCTATTCTCTCAGCTTTAGGCATTTGCATCATTTTATAATTCTGCAAATGTAACGAAGATTTTGTCTTCCTTTTTCCATCTCCTACGCACCACATACGTTTCATTAAAATTTCTCAAACTGCTTTTCCTCGGACAACCAAACTTTTTGTAACGTTAAACATGAAATACCGGGATAGCATAGGATTTTCGTACCCACCATCACTCTAAAATGTCTCGACCAAGATGTCAACTGACAGTCTTAAGCATCTACATGCAGCAGAGGTATTGAATCAAATGTAAACAATACCTCCAGAAAAGAAAAGAAAAAAAGTAGGGTTCGATGAAAACTGGGACCTTTTACCTTCTCTTTTTCGGAATTATATCATCCATCCGTCCATGCATCGGAACACCACAATATCAGAGCTATGCTTATTTAGCAGAGTTTAGCATTGTCAACCACAGAGCATGACTACAGCCCAAAACGACTCCATACTAAGCATCCGATAAGAGCAGGAAAAAAGATGTAAAACACAGTTAAGACTTTATCCCTTGCATCCTTCTCGAGTGCAAATCAAATACTTCATTGGAAGCTACTCTTCTTCCCCAATCAAATTAATGATTCTAGAGATTAACTGCAAGAAGCTTGGTAAAGTTTATAGCAAGTCCATGTCACCAAAATATTCAAAACATCAAAAGACTTTTCGTCCTTTTCTTCCAGTGACAGTCTACTTGATGGGGAAGGAAGAAAGACAACAGTAATTAATATTTAATGTTGTATGATTGTTCTAGTTGATTTTTTGGGGATTTAAGATTGTGTAGGTTTTTAGTATTTTGGCAATATTATTATTTATTACCCCCTCGTCTTAATCGAATAATTGAAGATGAAGATAAGATAGATAGGAAGACCATAATTTTTTATTGTACTTCAACATTAAGGAACAAATGAGAAATGTGTACAATCTAAGTGGGACAAAAGGATTATTTAGCATTTAAAATTAGAGCAAGAAAATCAAAATAAAATAAAATTTTATTTTAACTGCTAAATAATAAATACTAACATTCCTAAATAATACTAAAAATCTAGAATAATCATACATAATACAACATTAAAGTTCCAGAAAAATCATATTTTTTTCCCATTATTGTCTGTCATCATTCCCCATCACTATTCCACCATGAAAGGAACAAGAGATAATTAAAGCAAACATTAAATTTTCTGTTTCTCTTCTTTTTCATGTAATGAAATGGTATAATGTTTTAGAATTTGCTAAAATTCTGTCACAAGTTTGACAGGAAGATTGTGCCAAAAAAAATAATCATGAAATATCACATGCCCTTGAAATTTCATTCTAGGGGTTTTATGCTACAGAATCGAGTGAAAGAAGAGAAGGATGAACTAGAAAAAAGACTTAGGGCAAACACTACAGGACGCGCTCCAGTCATCCAGGAAGAATCTGCCACAACCTCTCTCTCATGCCTGCACTACTGCAAGACAAATATGCAACCACGAAAGGCCTATAAATTGACTCAAACCACTTGTAAAGACAGACTAGCAAATTACGAATTAGAATCATGATCTTCCAGAAGCAGGATTTGGAATGTTCTGCAAAAACATGTCCCTTGCTGCTGAGTCGGTCGAAAATCGACCAAGCACAGCAATTGTGGCTGTACTACTTCCAAATTTCTCGATACCTCTGGAAATCATACAAGTATGGTTAGCCTCCACAACGACCATCACATCTCCACCTAACAACGATGAAACAGTCTCGGCAATCTGCCTGGTAAGTCTTTCCTGTACTTGGAGCTTGAAACCATAAAAATGTACTATTGACTGTAAAAGAGATTTACTGATAGGGGTGATTTCTTCAGCACAGTAGTACCCAATATGCACAACACCATAAAAGGGAAGTAAATGATGCTCACACTGGGACCAGAATGATAGATTCAGCTCAGTGTATATCTGTTGTTTATTATGGCTGACTTCCCCATTTTGTTTAAGAGGATCCATCCTGCCACAAGCAAAGCCATTCAGCTTCATCTCCAGATTTGCGTTTTGGAAGTTCACCAACCACTTGACAAAACGACTAGGAGTTCCAACAAGCTCTTTCCGAGATGGGTCTTCACCCAAAGAGCTGAGAATTGAAGTAACTGCTGTAACCATTCCAGGGTTGGGTGGTCCAATAACTTTAGCACTTGAGGAACATTGGGATGGACACCAACACTGCTGCATCGAGTTTTTCATCTGAGTTTTATCCACGTTTATACCTCTGAACTTCAGGAGACTCAAAAAATCACCCCAAACATCAGCAAATTCATTTTCAAAAACACCTGATCCTGAATGGACCAGTGCCTTAGCCCATCCTTGGTGACTGGAGTCAAGAAAAAGTGACTCTATATTTGGGAACTGGATATGCAAACATTGGAGTATGACGGCAACACCAGCTGGCTTGATGCCATGATGCAAAGCTGAGCAGATTTCATCTGCCAAACGCTGTGGGTCTTGGAGTCGTTTGGCAAACACATCAGCAACTCTAGAGAGCTTGCTTAATCCTACAACCCTCTGACCAGATGGGACATAGCCTATTTGACACTTAACCTGGAAAGGAAGCAAGCAAGATTCACAGTATGAAAACAGGTCAAGATCCCGAACAATCACAAGCCCGCCTGCTCCTCCTGCATGACCAACTGCATCATCCAAACCAACTTCCGGAAACAATGCACCTTGAACAATTTCCTTTACCTTTTGTTTGTAACCTGAAAAAAAATTGATAAATAACTTGCCACGATGAGTACTTAGCAAAGTCAAACTTCCACTGCCAAATCAAATCCTATTTGAGAAACAATCAAAATAAATTATACATCCACGTATGATATTTGAACCATAAACTCATTTCTTTCTCTTTGCTCTGTATCCGAAACATCACACCATTTAAAATGATTTTTTACACTACACTGGTAGCTATTAAGAGCTTATAAGTTGATGCATCTAAAACCATGCATAGAACCCAGTCATTCTTTTATTGAGGTAGTGTGTCGATTTATTTGTGTATTTGCTATTTATTATTAATTTCCGAACATGAGATCACCCCAAGCCCCACCTCAATCCCACCACCAGAGCCTAGGTCCAGGGTGCTTTCGTGGAGTTGCTTGCGAAAACTAGAGACCAATTGTAGAATGTAAAGGCCACGCGTAGTTGGTTTTGGCTAAAACCGAGAAAAATGGACAAATAATGTGAGATTAAAATGGCATGCTGTATGAATAAGGCAACTTTGGTAACTCAAACTGAACCTCATCAAACAAATGCCTCAAAGGGAATCCTCACACTCCTTGAGAAAAATTAATTTGGGCCAAGGAACCAACCAAAGACACTATAGGCCAAACGCAATATACAACCATGTAATGACAACTATTGTTTAGGAATGGAAAGCAAGTAAGAATATAATTTCCTACCAAAGAGCAAACAGTTTGGCACTAGCGTACTTAATTCAGACAGGAGTAAATATTAAATGAACAGCAAGTAAAAATAAGCTTAGAATTTGTAGAGGTAACAACCTTTGGTTCCTTCTCGAAGCGCCTTGGCAACGCGAAGTGGGGTCTTTTTAAGACCTTCTCTATTAATATCCTCACCAAGACCTTGCAATAGAACTTTCACAGCATCCTCAATAGCTACAGTCTCAGGTTGGTCCTCAAATCCCAGATCAAGGCAATTAAGTTTCACTCCGTTCTCAAGCTCTGCATTGAAATGTCCATCATCCAAAGCGCCCATTGACACACTACAAATACCACCAGGTACACCAACCCCCAGATCCCAAGAGATTAAAAGGACAAGAAAAACCTTATCGAATCAAATGGTTACCAATGAGTTGAAGAAATTCAATAACAAATCAGAAAGAATGTTTCAGATACTGGGTTCCCAGATAAATAGCAAGTGCAGAATTGGTTACAAAAGCACCAACATCAAATCTTTTCACCGCACAAACTACAAAAACAAATTTTTATAAGAAATAATGATAAATTTGAAAACTTTGACGCACCCAGATGCCAAAAGAAACAAAAAACAAAGCTAAAAAAGACACAGAATGGAATCTTCGATATACGTAAAACCCAGAATGAATCAATAAGAAAATTCAAAATCTGAGCTACCTGCTGAACAACAAGAACAAAACAATGATGATGGATAGCCAAGAAGTTATGGGTTAGGCAAGGTGCTAAAAGCAGATATGACAATAATAGAAGCAGCAAAAGAGAAGTCAGTACATATGGGTTAGAGGGGGAAGCAGGCAATGCAAAAGAAAACAGAGGTAGCCTTGATCCTAGGAATGTGTGGATCCTTTAGGTTTTCTTTCCCTCGTCGAAATATGGGTCCCAGTTACCCAACCAACAGGGACTAATATAAAGAAATTTAAAAATATTTAAAAAATAATTAGTAATAATAAAAAATAAACTATTAAATCACATCTGGGCATAAAAAATTAAATCTAGATCGAAATACTTTATCATTTTTTTTATAGATTCACACGTGATTTTTTATTTTTTTTATTTTTGTCCATCTCACTTATTATGTAAGTATTGTTATTTACTCTCTGAATAACATAAAACTGATCATCTAATCTAAATCTCTTTATTTTCAGTATATTTTTTATAATAAAAATGAAAAGATATGCAAGTAACATTATGTTCATGTCATGTTATTTTTTTTATAAAAACATATTTTATCATATTTACATTGGAATTAAAATTTTTTTAAAAAATACAAGATCGTAATTGCATTACTAATAATAGAACTTAGCTATAGAACGTAATAAATGAGATTCAAATTTTCAATCTTAGAAAGGAATATTTTATAAATAAATGAATAACTTACCACCACATCCATCCATTAATAGCTACTTAGTACTTAGATTCTCTTCTATTCCTTTTCTCTTGTTAAGATGACAGTAATAATTACATTAGCTAAAAAGGGAAAAACAGAGACCCAAGAAAGGTCAGATTTTTTTTCCTTCTGTTTTTTGGTATTAAACTTTTTGGAAAATGATTTATGATAGCCTCACAAGTCACTGTAAGATTCATGGATGGATGCAAATCTATGACCATTTTGAAGCCAGATAATGAGTGGCTGTGGCTTTTGGTAAGGGCCTATTGGATATTGGGTGGTGGGACCCTAAGACCTAAACCAGGATGGGTAGGGTGGGGAAGAGTACACATCCCACCAACCCACATATGTACCGTTTCACTTCGTCGGGAAGAGGAAGGAATTATTCCGTATGATGCGGATCTAAGACCATATTGACCAGTTATTAGTTTTAAATGTCAAATGACCTTTTTATTGAGATGAGGTTAGGTTGGTGAGTTGAAGTTGGAGATGGGCCAGATGCCTCTTCTGAGCAATATTGCTGTTAGGTTCTTGGGTTGTCCTCGCACCATCTTCAATTTAATCATATTATATTATTACTCTTCTATGTATGAATCATAAAACATATAAGAGTACATTATAAATTAGTCCATCTAGTTTAGAAATATGAGTTAATTAATTTTTTTTTAACTAATCATTTAATCTAGCATAGTTTAATTTTGTCAATAACTTATTAATTTTAATTTATAAAATTGATGAAATAACTAAATTATAGATAGAATTAAAACTCAAAAAATAAATGATTAGTTTTTAAAGGAGAGGAACTAATTAAATTTTTTTTTTATAAACAAAAGAACTTAATATATAATTTACTCAACATAAAATATATTAGTAGTGTGAGTAGATTCGAACCTACAATCCTCGCATGCCTGTCCCTATGCTCGATCAAGACATCACGTTGCTTGAGAAGACGGCGGAAGACGTTGGCTGCAACTTGGAACGACCAAGTTGGTGGGTTGAATCGTTGAATGAAAGACTTAGGAGGTCAGGTCAATGCACTTTAAATCACACAACTTAACATAAATATGAAAAAGGTTTGTTTCTCGGAGGGAGGGGGTTGGTGGCTTGGGTTGGTGCTCAATAACTGCATGTTTTTTCAAACCAAACATCCATGAAAAGCATGTCTTAACAAGAATCGAACAATTTCACTTGAAATTTATTTCCAATGTTTCTACTATTTAGATTGTACCTTTCATGCTTTTTTTTTTTTAATATTTTCATGTTATGGATTTTGAGTCCTTGTGTTTTTTGAAATATGATATATTATGTCCATCAAATTCAACCAATTGGTTTTAAATCAATGGTTAGGATTCCTTCCTTAAGGAAAATAATTATTAATTTAAGAATTTTTTTGTTGTTTAATAATAAGGATATTTTCATACCAATATCATCATCAATCAAAACTAAATTTATTTTCAAATAATTTAAAAATATACTATCTCGACATCGACCTAATCTATTCAAGAGAATTTTAATAATTTATTCTAAATATTGGCCTTAAGATTTGAATTTAAAAATCAATTATTAAACAAACATTCCTAACTACCAAATCAATTTTAAGATTAATTTAAAAATATTATAATCAATCGTTAACTTGTAGTGTTTTTACCAGAAGAAGTTATTTCACAAAATGTTATTCTAATTTTTTACTAGCATAATCTCATGGCTAGAAAAGCCACTCACCCTGCCCAACCCAGTGACGGGCCGATGAAAAAAAAAAAAAAAAAAAAAGGCATGGAGCAGATAAAAAATATTCATTTCATGCTTACTCAAAACTTTTAATCTCAGTTTTTTTATGGTGGGACTTACTATTCATAAAACTGGAAAAATCAAAATTTGAAAACACGAAAAGTTTTATTTTTACTACTTTTGGATTACTTTATCTCATTAAGGCTAAAAATCACCGTTGGTCCCTGTACTTATCACGTTTGACCAAATTAAAACCTCTACTAATAATTTGGTCAAATTCTGCCTTATACTTCCATTTTTGATCGTTTAATTTTGTTCATCTTATTCGTCAGTTGACCAAAAGCCTCATTAATGGGCCTGAGAAAATCAACGATGGTAACATGTGCCGATCTAGATCCACACTCGAACCATATTTATAAATTGATATTTAAAAAAAGCTATCAAAAAATGAAATACGTTTAGAATATTAAGAAGGAAAAAAAGACGCAGATTCCTTCTGTTACATATTTGTTACTTTGAAGTAGAAACATGAATTTCTACTGGTGGCATTTAATATATGAATGTTATGTTTCAACTCTAAATTTAAATTTCTAGCTATTTTAACTTTATTTGTGATTTTTTTTTCAAAACCAAAATAATAAACATCATTGTTATAGCTACCCGGTTGTAAATTTAAATTTTAACATCATTGTAAATTTGTAAATAGTGATTTTTTTTTCAAAACCAAAATTAATGTTATGATGACTCCGAACGTATAATTAAACTTTGTAAATAGTGATACTTTTTTTGGGAGTCTCGTCCGACTTCGAGTAGCGACGGAATGACGACTCCACTTAGGGACAAGAATTAGGCCATAGGATTAGCTTTTTAATCAATCTCCTATATTTATTTTTGTTGTTTTATTTTCTGAATTTATTTTTTTTGTATATATTTAATTTTTTTAATTTATTTTCTATAATTTATTTTAGTGTTGCACGTTTATTTTTTGAAGCTGGGTTGTGTATTTTTACGTGAATTGTTGCATATACCACGAAGGAAACCTATAAAAGCTACGAACCCGAGTTAAACCCTAATAGGACTTAGATAGAGGGATTTGGAGGCGAGTATGACGAAAGTCTACCGATGCTCTTTCGAACTCTCGGTTGGATTGAAACTCACCATATACATTGGAAATGGTGGAATAACCTTCCCTACCTCATAGGGTATAAGGTTAGAGGTTGATTACCTCATTGGTAATTTAGGCAATCCGAAACCGAAAAAATCTTTAGGACTATGTGCCCAATCATAGAAAAACTAGATCTTATCTATTAGGGTTGACCCAATTAAGACACGAATCATTATCAAATAATGTCGATACTAACCATTGGTTTTGTAGGTTATCCTTCATATTAAATCATGACGAAGAAATTAGAAACGAGGTTGAGGATTTTAGGATCGGATCCGAGCGGGCTTAAAGTGATGAAGGAGATTTTTGCTCTCGAATTTCGTATCGAAACTACCGAAAGTGGTCAAATTGGCTTACAAAATGGTCAACACTCGGTCCACTCTCGGTTGTTGGGAAATGCTCACTCCTAAAGACGAGATCCGATTTCCAAAAAGCATATGGTGACATCGCTTATCCGATTAAGATCAAGGCTCGGACTGCGTGCTTCCAAGCTATGATAGAACATTGGGATCCAGATTATCGTTGTTTCACTTTTGGAAGTGTAAATCTATCACCTACACTCGAGGAATATAAGTCTTTACTAGCATTTCTGAAACAAAGGTCGTCTACTTCTACGAGTTTGTCCGATCATGGTCCATTAAATTTCACATGGTTGATCGGAATCAATCCCACCTTAGCCAAGAATCAACTAACCACAAGGGGTAAATCTCGAGGTTGGTTTTGGGACATTCTCCAAGCAGAGTTCATGAAGCACTTACAAGATCTTGATAATCGATTTAGACTTCAAATTTTGACATTAGCAATATATGAGCTAGTATTGTTGCCATTAGTCAAAGGCATGATCGACGTTGAGGCTATCAATGTATTTATGAGTGTGGTGTCTCTTAAAGTTAACCCCACTGTAGCTATTCTTGCGAAACACTCTCCTCATTAAACTTCTATCGAAATAAGGGAGGTGGACATTTGAGGTGTTGTGTCCAGTTCGTTGTTTGTATGGAAT